TCGGCTTATTCCAGGCACAAACACAAAATCAAACCATTCAAAGGCTGGTAGCAGAGTACCCCATATGGGTTCCACAACGGAAGCAATTTGCCAAGCTAAATTTTTCCTGCTTCAAAAATGACTCTTGAAAACCATTTGCCGTTGCCCTTCCCACTGCAAGACGAAGAGCTTATGCCTTCTGCTAGGGCAGATAAGGTACATTGTTGAATAGCTATGCCAATCTATAACCTGTCCTCAAGCATCCCTCATAACCACTGCTAGACCAATCTGCCACTTCTAGAATAATAAGAAGTATCCATCTTGCATTTAGTTGTATCAAGTGGGGTTGTGGACCAAGAAGAAGCTACATTCACAGTTGATGTATCCTCTGGCCAGTCCTCATTGCTTCTCAACATCGTTAGTAATAGAACCTGAAATACAATCGCAATTTAAAAGAACAAACATCAACGTATTGGTCATTTCATGAAATGAATGGATGAAGAGGCAGGATATCTAATTATCTAGTTAGTATCTATGTCTCACTCTATTAACCAGGCATACTCCATAGTACCAGCATAACACATGCGGTAATAATTCCAATATTAGAAGCTTGGACTCCGCCCTGAGTAAGTAAGTCTATTTGCATGTGAAATAGCAATCTCTGCTTCACGCCTTCACCTTCATTCAGTGTCCTATCTTCTTCATCCTTCTTTTCTTCCATGATACATCTAACCTAGAGCAAACAAACATCAACTTTTACAAATTGACAATGAAAGCAAAATTTCCTAAAGAAAGCAAATTTACAATGCTATGTCATATTTCATTTAATACCACATAAGATTGTGAGCTAATTTGTAATGAAAGCAAAATTTCTTAGAACTTTAGTGGCCAGCCTCCCTAAACCATAAGCAAGCCAGTCAACTTAAAATAATATCCTTTTGGTATCCCTTTTGACATTTGAGTATGTTTGGAGTAGAATGTCAATTGAGCATTACATTTACAAACTAAAAATGCTTAACTATATTTAAATAAAACAGTTTCACTTTGACTTTATAAAACAAAAATTGTTTACACAGTTCACTCTCTTGTACAGAAAGTAGCCTCCAAAGGATGATAAAAGTTAAATGGTGGGATTCTATTTCATTTTTATTCAGTCATGAAAAAGGCAACCCATAATATTCAGAAGTTTTCAGAAACTAGTCCCAGACCTAGATGAACCAAAGGAGGATTGCGGCTGTAGAAGACATAGTGTCATTGTCTTCACATTCTCAAGAGAAGAAAGAATGTGTGTAGCAAAACTTGCATGGCCTTTGATCTGTGATAATCAAGAAAATTACTATTGTTTATTTAACAATAAATCTTATTCTTACACTGTAATTCATCATACTGAAATATTCCAGCACCTTACCCCTGTAAATTGCCTTGGATGACCAATTCAATATAAGCTCATGCATGCTGTGCTTGACAGGGAGCATGGGCATGATGACATCTCCATAGAAGTTCTGCCTAGCATTCAGAGAAGGTTCTTCCTAACTCCTTCCTCTCAGCTTCAACACTCTGGATGATTGAAGGAAGCTAAAGATGGCCTCCTGCAAGGATACATCTTGAAACCCAAAAAAGCAATAACCATCACAAGTGGGGCTAAACTACATTACAGTCAATGCTTTTATATTGGGGTTCATTCAGTTTCAAAGTTCAATTCTCATTTCAAAACTGAATTTAAGGATGCAAATCATGCAAGAGAAAGTGCTCGGTGAAATATATTACTACCAGATCTTGAACTTAGTTTTGTGACTGCATGCCTCTATGATTATGCTCCAGAAAGTGCTTTATATGTATTTTGAGCGCATGGTTACCTTTAGTAGAGCCATCCAGGATGCAATTTGAAGTGACAGCAGCTTCACGAATAATAACAAAATCAAATGAAGTATTCTCCAGTTTGCAAGAAGATGCACCAAAGTTGTTAACACAGTAACACACCAGCTGCATCATTAAATACATAGAAGATGAGGTTACATGATTTGTAGTTCCAGTGCTGAAAAAACGAATTAAGTACAGAACAGGGTTCAATTGCCAAGGATTTCTGTATTGGTGATACAGCAGATGGAAGTTAAAAGGTGGTGATTTAATGACTTGAAAACTTCTCCAAGATGCCCTGAATGAATTTAAATGTGGTGATTTACCCCAAAAAAAAAAGGAATTCTAGACAGAACAGTTTGTAGCTGGAAATAAATAGACCAAGATGTTACCATGTTGTATAGAACTATGAGAGACCTTTAAGAAGGCCAAATTTGATAAGAAATTGAAGCTTACATTATGGGGACGAACAACTGACTATCATTAAGATAAAAATCCTATTGTTCAAATTTTCTCCTTCCTTCCAAATAATACAGTTTACCTGTGCATCAAGTGCACTGACCAAAACTTGAGGATAGTAAACATGCAGGATACTCCAAC